CCGTACCAGACACACATCCAGTGAAACATGCAATGGAATTGTTTTATGTGAAAGTGCAATAAATCATCATATTAGACCTTACAAAGGGATTGTTAGATCCCAATTAGAGAAGAAAACAAGCATTTTATAGCATTTGTGATGCAGAAAGCCATTATCAGTGGAGAGTATTACCATTCGAAATGAAAAATATAGGAAGCATATTTCAAAAAGTAATAGAATATTAAGCTGACACAAAAAGTAATGTTGCTCATACATTGATGATTTGGCAGTTTTTTCCAAAGACTGGAAGGAGCATATGAAAGAGATTCAAAACCTTACGAAGAGTATGCCTTACTGTAAACTTAGAAAAATGAGTTTTAGAAAAAAAGAAGTGAAATTTCTTGGCCATGTGATAGATTCAAGAAAGCCTAGATCAACTACAAAAATAGAAGTATGTGATATTTTAGAACTTCTCAACTGCTGTCATGATTATTTTCTGAATTTTTCCACTTTAGTATTACGCTTGACGACACTTGACTTAGAAGAGAGTGCTCGCTAGCAAACATCCCATGGGGGCAATGAAGAAAAAATAGCTTTTCAGAAATTAAAGCAATTTTTTTTTTTTTTTTTTTTTCTGATATGCCATCACTTTTCATTCTAATGCTAAATAAGCCTTTCCAACTATATACTGATGCATCAGTGACAGCTCTTGGTGCCTGTCATTCTCAAACAGATGATCAAGGGAAAGAACACCCAGTAGCATTTTTCAACAGAAATCTAACACCTAGTCAAGGTAATATCTGACAGTCTTATGTATCTAATACAAACTCAACCCCACAGAGCCAAGCGTTGGGTATTGGCTTTACGAAGTTATAATGTAAAGATTCCTTACTAAAAGAGGCAAGAGCATTGCTGTATTCAGATTACCCAACAATGACTCGGTGACTGGGTAGCATTGCAAATCAGATTAATAGAATTTCGGTAACTTTTATAGAAATGTATATATTATTGGTAATTATATTTAAAAAGGTTGTTATGTATATATCCTCTTTTATAATTATTATGAATTGCTATGGATAATCACCATGGTAACTAAATGCTACTGACTGTTCCGTATATTAATATTAAATGCTGTTATATGAATTTCTGAAATTTGTCATGTTATTGTATATGTGCTGAATATGTAATGGTTTATGTGTATGTGATCTTGTATACTCTCAATAAATGGCACATTCTAAATAAGGCTTCGCAGGTGTGTGCAGAAGAAAAGAAAAAAAAAAGTTGGGTCTGTTTTAAGAAACTTGCACATCCCTTCTGAAGTTGGGATGTGTAAGTTTTAACTGAACATGCCAAGAGCAAATATTCATCAACTTGTGGAAGCCATGGTGTGAACTGATGACATCAAAAAAGAAAAGTTGAGTTAACGAGGAGTTGGTAGATATGTGTGTAGGGATAGAAGGACAAAATACCTGCTGCTAATTTAATATGTAAAAGTTATTTATGCTTTTGTGTGCTGTGTGTCGTAAATAAAAAACATTCTTGTAAAGTATCAGCTATCTTCCTCCATTACCTTTCTTGCATTTGACCATTTTATGGTTATTTCGAGCTTATGTGACGTAATAGAAATGCCAGCAAATCCAAGTATTCTCATCAGTGATCAATTACATACTGAATTCTTCAAATTTTTATTTCTTCCCTTGGGGAGATTGTCCTTGTGTGTTTTACTGTAAGTCCAATAACCCAATCTTACTTGATATACCACTAAATACGATGATAGTACTTTCTTGTTTATACAAATCTAGAAAGAAGTGTCCTTGAATTTTTTTATATTACTTAAAATGAATAGTAGTTGCATATCTTACAGGGTTGAATGAACTTAAAATGAATAGTAGTTGCATGTCTTACAGGGGTTAATCTACATTTTAGGGTGCCCCATGGATTATCGCCAAGTTGTTTCATTTATCGCCAAATTGTTGTTTCATTTATGGTAACCTGAGTAGTTGAACGTTATAGAAACCCTATTATGATGTGATTGGTTGCTTGGAATTTGACTGATGGGAATGGGAAAATATTTGTAAGGGCTTATTTCTGTGTTGGATGTCAGGTAAGAAGTATATTATTTATTTTGTGCTGTACACTGTAAAATTGCTGTATGTGAAATTAATGTGAATTTTCTGTAGAGTTCGCAATGAGAGGGGAAAAAAGCATTTATTGACTGGTGTGTAAATAAAGGTTTACTTAATAGTCATTATAAGTGTTCTCTTTGTAAGAAGGAAATGCATATGGTCGAACATAAAGATTTTTCAGATGGCTTTGAATTGGTTTCTTGCAAGAAATGCCACCGACAGTCCGGCACTACAGAGGAAATTTTTACTCTTATTTTTGTGAATTAATGTGATAATGGCAGTGTTTTTGATTGCTGATAAGGAATTTTGTGTGTGTTATGTTGCAAACTATAATTATATTAATGTTTGTTTTAAGTTATCATTAGTATTTTTATTTGTACTCATGTATATTTTAATCTATAGGGTAGCCCAGAAGTCAAATAGAAATGCACTTTAGGTCGATCTTTTAGTGGAATGGAAAAACTGTTGAATTGAAAGCATGCTTTCAAGTGAGAGAGTTGGGAACATGAGAAATTTCCTTGATGTTAGGATACAAATAGGTTATTTTAGAAATAAATTTTCATAGTTGGTGAAAGGAGGGAAAATATTTCTGATGCCAGTTAGATGCAAACCAAAATTTATTCAAAAGTTGAAAAGCCCAAAGGGGCTGAAAATCGAAATAAGAGCTTTGAGGTGTATCAAATAATAAAATTGTTTAATGGTGTTTCTCCCTGAACCAAATGATGTATTATAACCTACATTTACAAAAAATAAAAAAGGGCCCGTTACAGGCCTCGAAAATTGAAAGTGTGTGTATGGGGAGGGGCAATTCTTTGTATCATACATGCAGCATGCTCTTTTTTTATATATTATCTAAAGCATAAAATGTAATAACTTTGAAAATGCAACATACTTTTCAGCTGAGTCATAGTGTTTCATTTTTCAATTTTTGTTTTCATGAGTTTATATCTCAATATTAACATTAATTGTTATTATATATTATATAGTACATTATATTAGTAAATTATATTATTCAGTAACAAAGCATGATATGTTTACACATGCAGGTCATTTTGTAATTTTCATAAAATATATCTTGAATTTAATCAGTTTTTTTATTTTTACCATATTTTTACATAAATATATTAGGCTGGGTTGCATCATCTCAAAGGCATAAAACATAATTTTATTTTTAAATTTAAAAGTTGTCTTAGACTTGCATAACTATATTCAGCACCCTCTCTATGACACACATCAAATGTACATAAAATGAATTTAAGAAACAAAAAGTAACAATTGGCAGCTACCTGGAAAAAAAAAAAATCTCTTACAGGGGCATCGGTATAACGTATATACAGCCTCTCCAAATTCAGGATTTTGCTCTAGATTTTTTAAGTCTCAATTTTGTGTTCTTAGAGTCCATAAGTTACTATTCATGCAAAATTTTACCAAAATGTAAATTATTTTATGTACCGCCTCTCAAAGGGTTAAGTGAAACTAGATCGATGTGTACATGGACAAAGGGAGTGAACAATGCAATTCTCCAATTTTTTTTAAGTGAATATATCGATGTGTACATGGACACTGAGTTTGTGCAATTCTTTGACTTGTTATTTAGGTTTTGTGTAGCAGCCATTTTGAAATTGTGTCTTGCTGGTGAATTTCCAGAAATTGCCAATTTTTGCCAAGGCCCACCCTGAAATATATTTTACAGGCATTGTTTTATAGCTATCAGTTCTTTTGCTGATGTTTGTGATGTGAAGGAATATAGTGTCCTATATTTTTCGTATAACTCTTGTAAGTCGTAGCTGTGCATGGCTCATTTATCTTTTCCTTCAGTGTCAAATTATTTTTATCTAAGTAAGCAAAAGCAGTTCAAATGCACATTTTTTTTTTTTTTCTAGTTGGTATTGACTTAAAAGTTTTCACTAAATTCATATTCAGAATTTAAAAAATTTTAAATGACAAATGGACGTCATATTTTACTTTAAAAAAATTGCATAACAGGATCAATTTTGCTATAGTAGATACATAATACATCATTCATAAGAATGGTGAAAAACAACTTACACCAATATTTTCAAAACATGGAAGATGAAATGCGTCTTACATTGAAATATTTATTATTCTAGCCTATAAGCATAAGTGTCTGCTTTTGGAATTTTGCATGTTGTCAAAATGATAACTGTAAATCGCAGTTGGTAGATAATGACAATAATTAAAGAAATCCATTTTATTTATTCCAACATCAAAATGGGAGAATGGTTTTCTTCAATAATGCTAATCCGGTTATCTTTTGAAAGCTATATTTTTTGCTTGATTAAAAAATATTGAGCATCATAACAGTACTTTATTGAGGTGTTGTGTATCCATGTATTCTGAATTCTATACCTTCAAAATTATAACAGTATGTTACTTATAAATGGAACAAAACAACCCTTTTAGAAACGGTATGTGCTTGTTAATGCTATTTTTGTTCTTTAAGATGGAAGGATAATAATTAATAGGATCTAATTAATAGGATGCGTTTTCTTCCTTTATTCTGCAGCATCTGTGCTGTGTCTACATGAACTTGATTTAGAATTCTTTAAAATTGATATAAAGGATAAAAAAAATTCAACTGTTTCTTCTTCGTGTATGTAAATTCATTAAAACTCATTTAAAATTATTAAATTCCCAGTGGGGGGTGGAAATGGGAAAAATTCAAAGGCATAAACATGCTTGGGTACTGAAATGCCTCTTACAGATTTTTTTTAGAAGATATATGCATCTATTTTGCCAACAAACTTCTCATTTTGATTAAATAAATGGTTAAATAAACATAGTTTATTCATTTTTTTCATGTTATATATTGTGCTAAAATGTTTTTCTATAATGAATTTCGCTCATAATTTGCTTTATAATTATTTTTTAAAGCTGGGGTGTCTGCATACCAAATTTGGGGTTGATGACTTACCCCATGTTCAGAAGGAAAATTTTCAAGCGAATGAGAAATCCAGATCACCAGCTATGGAGTCCCAGTCATCTAAGCTTTCTGTTCCTATTTCATCATCTCCAGCTAATTCTTCAGGTTAGTATTTTGATCAATATCTTATAATAAACTAACAAAGTGATTTAGATTTTTGGGTAGTACTGTTAAAAATCTATTAAGAGTTAAGATGATCTATCAGAATTAATTGTACAAAAATACAATACTTGTGTGTTTTTTGTTTGTAAGAATGTTAACACTTTTTTCTAACTCAGTCCAGTTTATTCGGTTGCTTCTTTAACTGCAGATTTGGCAGTACCTTTTCCTAGAACTTTCAAAATTTCCTACAGCTAAGAAACATATGCATATCATCTATCTCCTCAAAGTTTATCATTAAATTTTTACAGAAATGAATAGTAGCTGCTGTATCTACTACCCAGTTAAATTGTTGTTACCTCCTTTATCTATAGTTGACACCTAATTTTCTACCAACATTTAACTCTTTATCTATAAACTGCCTATTTTTATTGTCAATTTTAAACTTTTGATTTTTACTTGAATTTTCTTTATACTGAGGGATTAAGTGTTCACTCTTATGACATCTATAACAAGGTCCTATCTTCATATTCCACTTTTTCCTAGATTTAGTTTTACTTTCAACTTGGCTAGTTTTCTCTGGATTTGTGCTAATAGTATTTAAATATGCTTACCTTGCTGTTTTCTAAATCCGCCTGTACCTGGCGAAGTTGACTTTCCAGTTCCTCAGCAATTTTTTCCAACATAAAATCCTCATCCTTCAACATATAAATCAGCTGTATAAACCCTCAGTATTTTTCAGTAGTAATTGCGCAAATTTTGCTACATCTACGTTGCCGTGGAAATAGCGGGATATGCAGCGAGAGTGTTAAGCTTTGTATGCTCTTGTTGAGCTCACAGTTTATCTGTTTGTTCTTAAACTCACTCCTGCACATACAACTTTAAAAAAAATTTTTTTTTTTAATTTTATTGTTAAACATAATTTTCTTCATGCTTATGCCATATAAAATTCAACAGTGAAATCACAAAATATTAAAAAACTGCATACCTTTAGAATTCTTGATACAGTCTTGTTAAGTGTTAGCATACTTTTTTTTTATCCCCAAAGGGCTGTTATTCCAAAACATCACTTTTATTTCACTTTTCAAATACGAGGGTTGGAACTTTAATAGTGGCAACACAGCTGAAAAAATGCTACGCAACAAAACCAAAGAATATTGCGTATACCACACGTCAACTACATACCTACCTTACCTCTCAGCAAAAAGACTCCTCCTGCCTACGTCACACGCATGCGGAGTGACGCGAAGAACTGGAATCCTCGTATTAGCTCGCGGTCTAAAGTAAGTGTTGTTAGGATGTTTTCAAAACAAGAACAACGATGTTGTATAAAAATTGAATGTGCCAGAGGTCGTACAGCACGACAGTATCATCAAGGGCTTCAAGAGTCTTGCGGGGAATCTGCATTGCCTTACAGAACCGTAGCAAGATGGGTGAAAGCATTCAATGAAGGACGCCAAAACGTCGCAGACATGCTGCGGCCAGACGTGCAAGCTGTTGCCGCACTAATGGACAGTGATCGCCGCCAAACGATTCGTCAGCTGGCTGGACAAACAGGATTAGCGCATACGACTGTGCTGAACATTCTGAAGGAACGCCTATCCATGAGAAAAATTGCTTCACGATGGGTTCCACATCAATTGGCGGAAATGCAGAAATGGCTATGATACGATGCTGCCCGAACCCACCTGGAGTGCTATGAGTGCGAAGGAGATGCTTTTTTACGCCGTATCATTATGCTGGATGAGAATTGGGCCCGATCGTACCAGCCAGAGCTGAAACGCCAATCAAACGAATGGCGTCATCACGGGTCACCACGACGTTCGAAATTTCTTCAGAACCCCAGCAATGTGAAAGTTATGGTGATTCTCGTGTACGACTGTGATGGTGTCATTTTAACGCATACCGTTCCCCCATAGCAGACCGTCTTTGCGCAGTATTACTGCTCATTTTTGGAGCACAATCTCCGACCAGCTTTGAGAAAAAAAAAACGGCAACACTTTCTACCGAACGCTCCTCTCATTTTGCATGACAATGCTCGGCCACATGCAGCGCAAGCTGTGACTGATTTGTTCAAGCGATGGGGCTGGGAAGTGCTTTACCATCCACCATACTCCCCAGATCTAAGCCCTTGTGACTATGACTTAATTCCTAAGATGAAAGAACCACTTCGTGGCACTCGCTTCCAAACTGTTCCTGAGATTCTTGCGGCAGTAGACCGGTCCATTCAAACTATCAACAAAACAGGCGCTGCTACAGGTATTCTGCGACTTCCACATCGTTGGAAACGGGTTGTACACAATGCTGGTGACTATATTGAAGGACTGTAAAACATGGTGACATGAATCACTTTTGTATTCCTTGTAAATAAATAGTTGCCACTATTAAAGTTCCAACCCTCATAATTGGGTGCTTAAAATAATGACTACAAAAAATATGTAATGCATTTAATAAACCCAGCTTTTATTTTGCTAGTCCAGCTTAAAGGAATTAATAAGAGATAGGGAACTGTCTTTATTGCTTTTAAATCGCTTAGTTAGTTAGTTAATAACAAGCAGATTAAAAAGAAAAATTAAATATTGTAAAAAGAAAAATTAAATATTGTACAATTCACAAAATGGCAAAAAATTGGTGTGCAGAAGTTAAAAAATATTTTATATCACCTATCTTTAGAATTCCCAATAAAGTGTTAAATGTTATCATACATTTTTTTATACTCACTATATTATATTTTTAAAAATAATACATGGCAATAATTTTTGGTGGCACCATCCTTTTATTTGTGTTGGCATACATATTTTTATATTCACTGTATTATTTCTTTAAAAATAATGCATAGACATAAAATTTAGTTATAACATTTCTTTGTTTGTGTTGCCATATTTCTTTTATATTTGCTTTATAATTTCTTGAGAAATAATACATGTCTATCTGGGAGGATTGTGATCTGGATATAGGCAGAATTCTGATTTCTTTAATGTATGAAATCTGAATTTGGGAAATGTAGACTCTGTAATCAATAAATCTGTAAAATCAAAATAGTTTTCAAATTTTGTTGTAGAACAAGTATATCACTCAAGATTACATAAATTAAGACCATATAAATTTCAGTGAGTAGTCAAACTTCTTGTCCAAGAAAGCTATTTTTGTCTTACACAAAAAAGTTATTATTATTGTTTGACATATGCAGAAACAGAAAAAACTGACACTGTAAAGTTTTGGGCTGAAGTATTCAGAATAAACTACTTTCAGTATTGACAAGGTTGATTAAATCTTTTTAAACATGCTTCTGTTGACTCATTTTTGAATGTTCATTTATTTATATGAGTGATATTATGTCTGAAGCGTAGATGCTATACAGACCGAAATTTATTCTTATTAGTAGTGCATATGAAACTTTTGGATCATAAAGTCTCTCTAATGACTATTTGGCAAAAGCTTTAAGAATAATTTATTGCATAACTGGGCAACTTACCCATATTCTTCCTATTCTATAAACCTGTTCTATTTTTTCTAGTAGTTTCTCATCTCCAAAACCTTTTGATATGCATATTGCAAGTTCTGATTTAATATATAAGGTGTTAAATTAAAAGCCGTAGTTTGCGTCAAAACGTTTTGCTGATCAGACCGAATTTTCAGTTGTTAGCAAAGAAAAGTATACAGCAATAGTTCCCAGAAAATGACCCTCGCCCTTTCACTGCTCAGGATTAACACAAAGACTTTCTGGCCATAAATATGATCACTGTTAGCATGCATTACTTTTTCTCACCTGCTGCTGCTTGAATAAACCATGTCTCTTGTGTCGTGATCTTTCTTTGTTATCTGAAATGTAAACTGTATATAGAAATTGTGGAGTGCATTTAGCATCTCTATTGGTACCAACTTAAATGTGTTTCTGAAGAATATTTTTCCTGTTCAAAATGAAAATATTTTAATGATCAAGCCAGTTGAGATTTTCCCTCTAGTCATTTGCACAGAAGTTCTTCTTGGCCATGACTTAAGTGAATTGGTTTCATCTTCCGCAAAAACTAAAACATCACGGTAAGTCGGTAGGATATTTAAAACCTATTACTTCTCCACTGGGGTCAGCTGCATAGGTAGTATCCATCAGATACTTCTCCACTGGTTCAGTTCAAAAAGTTCCACAAGTTCAAAAAGTAAATGAGTGAAAGGCAACCCAAAAGTTATTTATCAGCCCAGATGTGTTGATTTCAGTGCATCGTCAAATGATTTCAAAAGGAAAGAATGATTTATAGATCCATTAGGAAGCAATAGCTTTCATACACATTTACTATTGTGTATGTCAAGAAAAATGGGTCAAGATCGGTGTGCAAAAATTTTCAGATGTGTATTGCAACACTGAAGTGTGTCTGCTAAAAGCAAATCTGCTTCATTTTCTCATATAGTAATTTGTGAAATCCCTTGAGTGATAAAAATTGAAAATTATGTATTCCACTTTAAAGTTGAAAAGCATCAATTATTTGATTTCAGTATGAAGTAATTTTAATGATTCATGATTTTGTTGATAATGTTTTAATGTTGTTTTCTATTTTGAAGTAAAAGGTTTATTGATTTGCACATTTCTAGTGCTAACATATGTGTGGAAGTGCAATTTTGTGTTCGGTTGTATTTAATTAACATAAGTAATTACAGCATTAGGCATTGGCTGCAGCATTAACTTAGCATAATTCTTCTCATTATCCTTTAATTTTATGACCAGTGTATATTCTATTAAATAGGAGAGTATAAAGTTCTTGCTGAACTGATATAGAAGTTTTTGGAAAGCTACAAGGAAACTAGTGTTGCATTGAAGTGGAAATCTTCAATAATGTATCTAGAATAATAATATGATTTCATGTTTTTTTTTTTCTAGGTAGGAGTAAGGTAGCATTAAAACCTGGACATTCATTGATGGATTGGATACGATTTACTCATTCTTGTAAGGATTTGGCTGCAACTGGTGGAAAATGCTTGGATGTATCATCTCGAGAGCTTGCAAAACATAATTCCAAGGAAGATGCGTGGATTGCCTTAAAAGGTTTAAAAGATTATTTTGTAATATTTGTAAACAAATGAGCCTAATCATAAGTTGTTTTATAAAGTGACATTGTTCAGATTAAATAAATTTGATCTGTCAAGACTACTAGTAGCTGAGAGTCTAAACCTGTTCAGTTTCAGTCGGTAATTAGTAAGTTTTGTCTTGGAATTTTTTCTTTTGATAGAATGCAATACCTTCATGTATTTTAACATCAGGAATTTACCCATGGCAGTATTATTAGGAGCATATATCTCTTAGAAATCCTTTTGAAAAAAGTTTTCGAGTGGGTAGATAATCCGTAAGTGCTTGCCATATTAACTAACCACATTTGCTAATCATTCAGAACATGAAGCCTATTTATGCTTCATTAAATTTTAGCATCTTCTAGCAGTGAATAGCAAGTGTTAAGGTTTTGATATACAGGGTTATCCAAATTAAACTTCCCCAACTCAGAGGCCTGTGCAGAGTGTTGTATGGGTCATCATGTGATGCAATTTTAAAAACGGACACTTCAGATCGAGCACTCGAGATTTATTCAGCAAACAAAATTAATACAAGAAGTTGCCGATAGGTGGTGCTGCAGATCAGCAAGACATTCTACAGATGCTCTATATGTGTGCCGTGGTTCTCCACAACTCTTTCCATTCGCAAAGCAGTGTGTTCCACAGCGGAGTGCAGTAAGTCCACATTAATTCCACGAACATGTCGAATAATTGCGTCTTTCAGATGTGCCAAGGTTGCTGGGTGTTCTCGGTAGACCCGATCCTTTAAGAATCCCCATAACCAAAAGTCGCATGGCGTGATATCAGGCGAACGGGAGGCCAAGCTGTAGGGAAACTGCGGCTGATCACACGTGCATTGGTAAAAGTTGCCCGTAACACCTGTTGAACGCCACGAAGAATATGGGGAGGTCCACCATCCTGCATAAATATCGTGTCCTGGAGGCGGCCACGTTGTTGCAGTTCAGAGATCACAAATGTTGACAACATGTCCTGATACCGTTTTCCTGTGACAGAGCAGGTTTTGAACCCTGTTGGAGTCATCTCTTCAAAAAAATAAGGCTCAATGATGAATGTTGCAGTGAAACCGCACCATACAGTAACCTTTAGAGGGTTCAAGAGCACTTGATGGATTGCGCGCGTTTTCACTTGCCCAAATGCGGCAGTTGTGTGTATTCACTTGACCATTCAGGTGAAAACGGGCCTCATCCATCCAAAGGATGGTCCACGGCCAAGCAGCATCGACTTCCATTCTGACAAGGAAACTGCAACGCAAATGTTTCCCGAACTACAGGATCTCCGTCGGACAGCTGATGACAAGTGAGGATTTTGTAAGGAAACTAACCGAGGATTTGACGCATCACATGCCAGATGGTCGTATAGGGTATATCAACAGCACGAGAAACAGTTGGCACACTGACAACAGCATGTGGCGATTGGCTAGTGGGGTCCACGACCGCCAAAGGAACGTCTTCTACGCGTGCAGATTCCACAACCTTCGTCCTCTACCTTGTAAAATTCTCAACTGTCCCGCTCTTTCGAACTTCTTCATCATGTCTCGTAGAGCGCGTCGTGTCATTGGTCCTCGAGTAAGATCTTCAGCCGATGGAATGCTCTTATCGCAGCACAGGAGTTCTCGTCATTCTGGTAGAAAAGTTTCACTAACAGAGCTTTGTCTTTCAAAGTTGCCATTATGCATCAGCGAGCTGGAAACAACTGCCTGTGCAAGGCCTGTCTTCCACTTTTGTAGGGCTCGTCTTTTGGGTACGTTGCGCAGAAGCTTTATTTCTGCAAATCACGTTGCTGCAATATGCACATTACTAGTGTTACAGCACCACCTATCAGCAACTTTTTGTACTAATTTTTTTGTGTAATAAATCTCGAGCGCATGATCTGAAGTGTCTGTCTGTAAAATTTCATCACATTATGACCCCTACAACACTCTGCACAGGTCTCTGAGTTGGGGAAGTATAATTTGGATAATCCTGTATATAAAATATTTGGATCAGAACTTTCTGAGCCTGTGCTATGTTTGATTTCCTTGCACGTTTCCATCTTTATTAGTATTAATTTTAGCTCTTCAAAATCAGGAAGAAAAAGTTATGTGGTTTATTCCATCTCTTAGAGAAAAGCTTAAGTCTCAAAGAAAGCTTGGGAAAAATAAAGAAAGCAGACTAAAGATGCTTGGAAGCTATATAAGAAAATATACATTCTATATTTTGAAGGAGTCTGTTACAGTTATTGTTTTCAATACTGTTCTTTGTACTTGCACATATTACTATCCATGTGCACCTTGCATTTTGCTACCATAAACCAGAAATTTCTGAATCATATCCTAGAAATAGATTTGATAAAAAAAAAGCATATGCAAGGAGAATTATGTGAATCAATTACAGTATTTTACTTTTGTCAAGATCTGAAAATGCAAAGGATTTATTTGATTCTGAAAAGGACTAGATTGTAGTGTATTTTGGTAACAGCATCTCTGAAACAAAATGCCTGGTAGGCTTTCCATGTAGTGCAATGATTAGTATCCGTAAAAGCTGGTATAAAGCACTGACACTATATTGTTGGCAAAGCATAGATGCTGCATATGTCAGTGGAATGCTTAGGTTGTTTTGTCTTTTCCACAGCCCGAACGCAATATCTGAGGCTAACATTACTTGTAATTTCAGTGATGGTACTGAACTTGTTGTTTGGGAACATATAATTTTATTATTTCTTCTTAGATCTGAGTCTTTATGGCAGCAAACTGAATTATATGTCCATTTGCGCAGTTGCTTATCACACATTAGAAGTGAACATACAATTACTAACACTGGACCGTTGATGATGAGACAGTTCTAATTTTTTATTAGAACATATTAATCAGTGAGTTGGTATATCATGTTTATTCAAGAATGCCCTAAATTACTGTGGAGATATACTTAACCTGATTGAGGGAGTGTAATGATTTTATAAATATTTTTAAGCCTGCCAGCAGCCAAGCAGTAAAATTGCTGAACACTGGTGGTTTGGTCCAGAGTTCAAATCTTGGTGTACAGGCTGTCTGCATGGACATTTTCATAGTTTTTCTCATGTGTAACATGCATATGAACCAGTTTTCCACAGAAAGTCCTTCACGAAGGCATCTCTCCCCTTTAGAGCTTTTGAGTGCTTTGTGATAATTTAATAAACTAAACCAACCGCACAAAGTGTTTGGAACTTTTCTGTCGAGAAATAGCTGTGAAAGCTCATACCCACTTAAAAAGTATTGTATTATGGTGTAATATTGTAAGTTTTGGGTCCTACAATATTATCTGGTGACTCCGTAATAAGTTAAATAATTTAATTAAAATTTCTCACGATTTTTATGCAACTTGGCTTAATACTTTGTTATATGATTTTATAAATATTTTTAAGCCTGCCAGCAGCCAAGCAGTAAAATTGCTGAACACTAGTGGTTTGGTCCAGAGTTCAAATCTTGGTGTACAGGCGTCTGCATGGACATTTCAATAGTTTCCATGTGTAACATGCATAGAACCAGTTTTCCACAGAAAGTCCTTCACGAAGGCATCTCTCCCCTTTAGAGCTTTTGAGTGCTTTGTGATAAGGCTCAATGATGAATGTTGCAGTGAAACCGCACCATACAGTAACCTTTAGAGGGTTCAAGAGCACTTGATGGATTGCGCGCGTGTTTTCACTTGCCCAAATGCGGCAGTTGTGTGTATTCACTTGACCATTCAGGTGAAAACGGGCCTCATCCATCCAAAGGATGGTCCACGGCCAAGCAACATCGACTTCCATTCTGACAGGAACTGCACGCAAGGTTTCCCGAACTACAGATCCCCGTTGGACAGCTGATGACAAGTGAGGATTTGTAAGGAAACTAACCGAGGATTTGACGCATTCACATGCCAGATGGTCGTATAGGGTATATCAACAGACGAGAAACAGTTGGCACACTGACAACAGCATGTGGCGATTGGCTAGTGGGGTCCACGACCGCCAAAGGAACGTCTTCTACGCGTGCAGATTCCACAACCTTCGCCCTCTACCTTGTAAAATTCCCAACTGTCCCGCTCTTTCAAATTTCTTCATCATGTCTCGTAGAGCGCGTGACAAAAAAAAAAAAAAAGTGCTTTTGGATGTCTGAAAGCAATTGAATTTTCTCTACATTATGTCTAAAACAAAACCTCAGATAACTTCTGCTTTATGAGTGAGAGCATTATACGTATCCCAGAAACGTTGTTTTCCAGTTCTCCAATGGGCATATATTAGCCAATGAGGACAAAGCAAATTGTTATTTGGATGTTTTTCAGTTATTTTGTTTATTTTGTTCTGAGTTGTGTGAGTGCATGTGACTTAGGGAAATAGTTTTAGAAATTATCATCTTTTGTTACATCTGCGAGAAAGGTGAAACACTCGTGTACGTTTCAAAAATCGTACACAATTGACTTTCCTTCCATTATTTCCTCAAGGAAATGTAATAAATTTGCGATGTGTACCGCCTGTCGTTGCGATTTTTCGATTTGGCATGGTGGAAGGGCGGATGTTCTCAAACATATGCGTACACAAAAACACAAGGATAACATAAGTTGTTTTTTAAAAAATGAAAAATTAAATTTTTCTTCGGAAACAAAGGACCAAAAAGTTATTAATGCAGAATGTCTGTTCTCTGCTTTTTTACTGGAGCAAAACCTGCCACTGAATGCATCGGATCACGCTGCAGCTTTATTTAGAAAAATATTTTCCGATGGTGAAATCGCTAAGAAATACTCAAGTGCAAGAATCAAAACAGGTGCATTTGTTAAAGAAATGGGTTTGAAAAATAAATCTTCAGTTATTGATTGCATTAAAACAGCTCCGTTCGCCTCTACGGATGGAAGCAATAATACCGATTCAAAAACTGTATCAATGTTGTTCTTTTTTTAATCCCAGAGTCTTCAGAAATTGAGTGCAGTTTACTTTCTGTCCCCACTTAGAAGGACATTTGACAGGCTTTAATGTAGCACAGCTAATATTATTAAACTTTAAAAGAAAATGCAGTCTCCTCTGGATAATTGCTTAGCGCTTGTTGCCGATATGCACCAGTATTGGTAGGCTTGAAGATGGTGGTGCAGGCATCTTAAGAAAGGAAAATTCAGATTTGCAGATTATGAGGTGCACCTGTCACCTCTTAAATTTAACAGCTGAAAAAGGGGCAGCTTCTTTACAATAAATGTGGATGAACACATTGTGATATTTATTATTATCTTGAAAGGAGTTCTAAAAGGAAGGAAAAATTGAAACAGTTCCAACAGGTGCATAACAGCAGTTTACAGTTAGAAAACTTGGATGAAGTTATAAAATCAGCTAGGATTGACACCCAGTGGAGTTTAATTGGGAAACTGAAAGGTGCTGATGGAATTTTAAAATATAGTGAACTGTCTAGAATTGTGTTGGCCATCTTGACAGTTTCCCATTTTACCCGTCATTGTCCCCAAGTTTGATAAATCATCATCACTGATTGATAAAATGCTCATCTTTTCTATTGGCAACCTTTTTTTTTTTGGCAATTTTAGGTTCACTCACCTAATTAGTAGCCAAATTTTTCATTTGACATAATAGCTGGGAAGGTATTTTGTCACCCAGTTCTACTTCAGTTAATAGTTTTTGAGTCCTTCAGGTTTCAGTGTCCAAGAAGGTAGAAATGAGCTTGTCTTTAATTATAATGTATTTGCAGTCTTTTGGTGGATTAATCAAAATGTCTGACATTTGTGATAATATTTCAGCTTCAGTGGAGCTGACGACATCATATTTCATTTGATCTGCTGTTATTAGAACATTTTGAAACTGTTCTGCCATATTTTTACATTACAAAAGCCATATACAAAATAGTGGAATTTAACTGCTAACCCTACTGATGACTGATGTTGAAGTATTACTTTTAATTTTATCATTGTTTGTCATTTTCGTTTAATTAAGGCTGGTGTCCAGCTGTCACCAATGAAGAAAATGTAAATTTTTCTTTTTTTAAATTTTCAACTACCTTTTAATCATTTAAATAAAATAAAGATTAGAGAACTTGATAACTGAATGAAAAAGAACATTTTCATTGTTATTATATTTAAGGTCTGAAAAGTAATGAAGTTGCCACTTCACAAAAGATAAATAGTTTTTAGAAACAGTGTAGGAGGCACTGCAACAATGGTGATGACAATGATTTGCTAGTTGTAGCTGATTACACAGATAGCAGTTCCAGCAGTGTTATAGGATTTTAGGTCTAGGGAGTAGTATTGGATAACAGAAAAATCAGGCAAGATTTAGGATAAAGGGAAGTCGAAATGAAGATGTCTTATTAGATATTGTGTAAGAATGTTGTTTCAAAATACATGAGAAGTATCGAATTTTTCTATCCTAATAACGCAAGATCATTTTCAGGTATTTCAAGATTTATTCTTAAAAGTTACACAATTCATTAAAAGCATTTAAAAATTATTAACCTTTTTTTTAGAAAAATTAATTAGAATGAATAGTGTCTAGATGAAAGAAATAAAGCTTGCAAGCAAATTGCAGTGGAAATTAAGGGAATAGTGCCATACATACCTTAACTTCCATTGCAGTTCATTCAGTGAACTTGAGAGTTGAAGGCAGTGCAGCTATCTTGCTAGGTCTGGTGACTGATTGAAGTCCATATCTTTGAGGTAGTTGATTGCAGCTCTGTATAGCCTAGCATTATAATAATTAAAAAAAAATATTACAGTAGCAAATGATCTCATGTTGATCAAGGAGTTCATACTGGTACCTCACAGCATTCAGAAATCTGGCAACAAAAAGGTCACTATAGAATCTTAAACTGGTTATAGCTGTTAGGTAGAGAGTACCTACATTCATATGTGAGCATTATTTTAGCTCCCTTAATCTCTACTTAATGTGGCTTTTTCTCTTGCAGTTGGACTGTCTCTTGTGTAAATGAGTCTGTGGAACTCGCATAAAAAGATCTGGCAAAGAGTTCTTTCACCTCCTTTGGACAGTTCAAGCAGGCATTGAACTTCTCTTTATTGCAAAATGAAAAATGATTGGCAATAAGGTGCATTTGCAGTGTTTTCCTTTTTAGAGACATAATTGCTGTGATGTAAATGCAAAATGTCAGTATCTGCTGCCTTTTTTTGAAAGAGGTTTGTGTGAATGTGAATGTAGTTAAAGGTCCACTATTCTTGAAAATTAAGTAATTGGTTTGACAAATAATTGGTGAATACCTCCGGTACATAACCGTTGTGCTCAGTTGGATGATTATGCTTCTTGTTAGTTACATTTCATATTCTTGTGAATTTTGTTTTGAATGGTGTAGAGGGGGAAAATATCTATTTCATAATTATTGGGGGGCAGTATATTTACAAATGGTAAATTAGGTTAGTGTCAACTTAATTTTTCATACTTTTAATAAAATGTCATGTTTTTTTTTAGGTAAAGTATACAACATAACCCATTATTTGGAATATCACCCTGGAGGCGAAGATGAACTTATGCGTGGAGCAGGAAGAGATGCTACAGATCTGTTCAATCAAGTGAGTACGAGGTAATGTTTTTATGCAATTATCCTAGCATATGTGAAAATCTGTGTATTAGGAAAGTAGTGATCCGGAAAGATTTTTTTTTTAAAGGAAGGAAGTGATATTTTATTGGGACTTCAAGAACTATTTTTAATACATTAATAAAAATAACTAAATGCTATGTATTGATAAATTCTTTATAATACACAACTAAAAACATTTAAAGATATTCAGATTTATGTGTGTAGTAGTCATTCTACAAAACCATGAATATGCTTGCTGTAATTAATATTTTACTTATCAGAGTTGTGTAAGCTATGGCTTATAGGCTAAATAGAACATTCTGTATTTTTCTTTTTGGCCCTGGTGGTTTAAGTTTTAAAGTGTCAAAAAAGGAGGGCCTTTCTAATTTCTTTTGTCAGAAATATAAGCAAGTAATCCAACATAAAATCTCACTTAATAGTGAGAGACTGAGGATATAATTAAAAGCCGAAGAGGGAAATGTTGGTCATTGCAACTGTCTGGTGTATGAAATGCATTCATTCACTTTCTTTGCTATTGAATTAGCAGGAGAAAGATGATTTTATTCCCATGTGCAGTGTATATTTTATTTGTTCCAGTAGTGGCCTTTGAGACTTTATTTCATGTAGAATTTTTTTTTTTTAAATTTCAAATCTTTTCAATTGGGAAATAGGGAAGCTTCTTTTGTTGTTGTGACTTATTTCACTTGATGGAAAATAACTTCACAATAAATCCATGAAACCTTAGTGGAGTGCAATATTGTTGCATTTGTCATTGGCATGGGCATCTCATAGGTGACAGTACAACTTTACTCAGCTGTGCCTTAACGTTTTAGTGGAACATTCTGGCAAGAGGACTTTTGCATGGCTATAGGCTTTAGGTCTCCCCATGCTGCAAAGATGCTATACACTTACAACATCCAACCCTTCTCTGGGATTCAAATCCAGACTTATTGATACAGCAGCCAACATCGCTAACCACTATACTGGCTAAGGCAGCTCTGCTTTAGTTTTAATTTGTAGTATTTAATCTCCAGTGTAATAGCATACTTAAAAGTGTTTGTGTATACTTAAATAATATGTATTTCATATAGAATTCTTACTATTAGCAATTTTAAACAGTTTATGGTATAAAATGTTAAAGAATTAACAATTATACTTTGTTTTGGAGCAGATTTAGGGTATAAAATGAGCAAGGCTTTAAACATCATAAATCCTGGACTGCTTGTTTTAAATTGATATTCAACAGAGACAATTCAGGTTTTATTGAATATTTTTTAATGCAGTTGTGAAATATATTTGTTCAAAGTTTTAAAAGTACTGTTAATTGAAATGGTTCTAAAGTAACTCATTTCCGTTATCAAAAGTAATTTAAAATATTTATCTGTGTTGTGTTAACAACTTTCTCCAAAACTAAGGTTTATTATTAATATTCATAGGGTAAGGTTACTAGTTTATGTATATAGAATTGGCCAGCAGGCAGTTTTTAGACCACTATGCAAGCTAAATCATCGCCACTGTAGCTTTAAAATTTATTATCAATTATTATTATTAATATCTTGATCCCATCCATGGCTGAGTTTTTAAGACAGTTGCAGATGAATTGGCTGCTGCATGGTGGTTTTCGTCGTTTCCCCATGTATAATTTTAAATAGCTGGCCAGACTGCCCCTACAAAACATTTTTTTAAAATTTTACTCATTTCATTTCAATCTCATTTTTAACTTTATTCAATTCATACCAAAATCATAGTGAAACACCTCACAGTTATTAATCTTTTAAACATGTACTCAAGAATTTAAACTCATGACAATTAAACATTAAAAAACATAACTAACCCTTTCTCAACTATTAATTACTCATAGGGAGCTGCCCGGATCCAGTTGAAACAGAAACGGTCAAAACTTCATTGTTGTCAGGGAAACCAATACTGGAGTCTGTTCAAGGCACAACGGGTGTTTTCTCATACTTCCAGCACTACTCTGTCTAGTAGTATTTTAACTCTAAAAATTGGCCTTTGGAATGTTCGTGCCGACGCAGTGGATAAAAGCAGACAAGCAGGCAAGAGGAGATGTCTACAGTCGATAATCTCAGCAATAATCTGCATCTTCTGCGTGAAATATTCGGGATTATACTTGAAAAAAAGCCACTCCTTTTATTCAGTATTATCATCACAAAATCTGTATCTTTGGCGCGAGCAATTCGGTATTATAACGGGAAGAGAAGACACTTCCTTCTTTCCATATTTTCATCAGAAAATCTGTCTCTTTCTACTAAAAACCACTGTGATGAAATCAAGACCATTATGCCGCAGGACAGGAAAAACACTTCACTGCCGTCTATCACGATAAGAGCCCGCACGAGCTCGGACAGGTCTCTGCAGCCAGAACCAAGGGGCTGCGGTAATATCCCTTAACTGCAACCCACGGTTGACCCGTGAAGGGTTGCCGTGTTTCCCTTTTTCTGCGCTCCCACCCAGAAGAGTTGGTAAGAACTCGCACAAAAACTCCGCTATTGTCCACTAATTGGTCCAGCAGCACATCACTGACCGCGGCCAACCCCAAAGGGGCCGTCGTCGAAGATGCCAAACAGCTAAGGCTCCGAAAAATCTACTAAACAAAATCTGCTTCTGCCTCTCGTGCAACGACTTAAGAAAACTTGGTTGGCACTCAAAATGAAACACCTCTAATTCACTATTGGCTTAAGTAACACTAAAATTTAAAATTAGCCAATCTTTAGCAAACTTTGAACTCCCTCTAGCCAACTAGAACAGAGGTAATAAATAACGACAAAAATTCGAAGAAATTCAGAACCCTAACAAAAATGACGTACTCTTCTTTCCTGCGCAACAGAGGAATGTTTTCAATCGTAATTCAGTTAGACTTGCGACAGCTGTGAGTAATAAACACCTTACCCAGTTCTTTACTTCAGAAAAGCCGAAATACTTTCACACCTCCACACCCTAAACATGTGGTCAACCCCTCAAAAAGAGGAAATTGCAGCTGGGCAGTCCGACCCCTGACCTCCCAAAAGAAGCCATCTCGTGAGAACGAAAGTAAGAACCTGCGTTTAGCTGTATCAAACTTTAAGCTTAACTTAAAAGAGCTTTACTATAATCAAACAAAAATTTTAAACGAAACTATATATTAAACATTAAATCTTAAATAAGAACATTACAATTTCTCTATTCACAGTGAATTAATATAATCACTAAGAATTCCCTATTCACAGTAAAATAATATGTAAGAATTGTTCATAACAAAGTAATACATAATAATTTCCGTAACAATTTATAGAAGCACCGAGCAAAAAAATTAAAGGATAAAAATATTTTTAGAATTTAGGGAAAATACTCGAATCCAAAATTTAGGGGCCACAAAAATTTAGAACTTAGTGAGGTGTTTGGTAGCAGAATTTAGGAGCCGTAGAAACTGCATCAGGCAGTAAGATATCTAGCGCTAGCCCTGGATAAGCCTTAAGTATATATGGAATTTTATTTATTCAAGATTCAGATAAGCCTTAAACATGTGCAAGAAACAGACATAAGTATAGTAAATACCTAATACAGCCAGGCCTTTAATTGTCTCAGTGTGCAACAGAAGCACGAGAAAATTTAGCTGAACAACTTGTATTTCGTTCCTAATCTCATGATACACAGCCAATAATGTATAGCAGATGCTATTAAGCTAGGCCGAAAGTATACTTTACTGATTCCAGTGAATTTCAGCCAATATAGCAAGCAGATTGCGCTGTTCCGTAACTTTCTGATTTGACCCAGTTTAAATATTTTTTGCAGGCTGTTTTTATTATAGCAGTTTGATGAAAATTAAAGTTTCAACTTTCGATCATGTCGAAAAGAGTTTCTTATTCTGGAGCTGCAACAGAATCTGCAAAGCAAAAGCATGATTTGATGTCCATTAAACAAAAAGTAGAATTGCTGAAAAAGTTGGATAATGGTGTATCCATCTCAAAATTGTGCGAGGTGTATGGCATTGGAAAGTCAACTGTATATGACATAAGAAAAAAGAAAAGGAACTTTTTGAATTTTTTTTGTATCCCGACATCCCACTCAATAACAGAAACACCCAATAACAGAAAAAGTGTTCGTTATGCTAAAAGTGACGAACATGACAAAGTGATGATTGAATGGGTCAGCTAGCGTCGAAGGGAGGGCTGCCATTGACGGGTCCAATTGCTAATGGCTCAAGCCAAAATATTTCATGAAGAAATAAACTTAAACACTGAGTGCATATACCCAACAGGTTGGTTAAACAAATTAAAAAATCGCCATGGTATAAGATATTTAAAAATTTCAGGCGAAAAAAGCTGAACAATTTGCAGATGAATTCATTGAACTCATTATTAGTGAACAATTACTGTATTTGATGGCATATAAGATGCACTGCCATATAAGACGCACCCTTATTTAGAAGGCCACACACATGTAGATGTAGAAAAGGTTTTGTGTGTCTAGACCTTTATCTGGGCTAAAAATAGCATTCAGTATTGAAAGTTAACCTGTGTCCTTCACGTATAACACGCAGGTAACTTTTTTTGAGACCAAATTTAGGGAAAAAAGTGCGTCTTATATGCTGTCAAATACGGTATCTCCAGAACAAATTTACAATTCTGCTGAAACTAGTCTTTTCTAGCAATATGTACCACCAAATATCTTGGCAACCTCTACAGAAAAGGCTTCAACTGGTATCAAAGATTCCAAAGTGAGACTAACAATTTTAGTATGCACAAATGCTGCAGAAATGCACAAGTGCAAACTTTTCATAGTCAGAAAATACGCACGACCTCCAGCATTTAAAGGAGTAACGATTTTCCCGTTATATATCGTGCAAATAAAAGAGCATGGATGACACAAGCGTTAATGAATGATTGGTTTGAAAATCATTTTATACCCAAGGCTTGGCAACATATGAATTCGGGTGATTTACCTGATGACTCAAAAATAGTCCTGATTCCAGACAACTGTTCAGCTCATACTTCACTTAAAATTTTAGTGAAAGGTAATGTATCCATTCTTCCCTCCAAATTGTAAGTCTGTCATTCAGCCTATGGATATTGGAATAGTACGCACACTGAAATCATGGGACGGTAAGTCTCTTCATACTTTAAAAAATGCTTAGCATAATTTATGGCCTGCTAGCATATTTCATGGTGAGGTTGAATATGATAGCCGTGAATGTGAAGGTTTTTGGATATCGCAAACCAAATGTTAAATTTTTCAATTAATGGATTTTTAAAAGAAATGTGGAGAAGCGGTAGTAAATGAAGATGATATAACAAAAGTTTCTCATTGCAATGACAATGCCCCAATTATCAATCATTTAATGGATGATGAAATCTGCAGTATGGTTCTAAATCCAGAAAATACCACTACCGAAAGTGAAGAAAGTGACAGAGAGGTTATTGGAATCTAAAAAATTTCAATTGATAAGTTAGTTGGAATTCTCGACTTGGCAATTACAGGACTAGAACAGTGGAACTTCGTAACTGAATAAGAAATTATGTCTGTCTACAGAATTACAGAGAAAATATTAGCACAAAAAAAAAAAAAAAAAAAAAAAAAAAAAAAAAAAAAAAAAAGTGATTTAAACAACTTACATTGAAAGAAATGTTTACATAAGTAAACAAATAAATATTAAGCGCTTTTTTTTTTAAATTTTTTTAACCCTTTAGATCATAAATTCTTCATTATTTCATAAATCACGATCTCATATTTTGAATTTTATAATTTCTACATGCCATCTTACAAGTTTTAAACTGATGATCTAATATCCGGAATCACCAAAGTCCCGACGAGTCCGGATCTCAGACTTTGTACAGGAAAAATAATACATAAAAATCCAGTACTTTGTAATTACCATCATGCTGAAAAGTATTCACATGGCAATGGATCATTTTGCCAAAATGTATTTATGTGGTAACACAGGTATGTTCACATGGGGCTGACAGTACGCTATGGAAAAGAGACTCTTTGACCTGGGTTATTGAAAACCCTTAACATGGTATTAACCCTCTCAACTGCATACTTTGTTTATCAAAATAGGTTCACAAATTGTGCATTTTTTTATATTTCAAATCTACATATACTTTAGAGTTAAAATATACAAAATTTTTTTGTAAAAGAGTTTTTTTTCAATATAGAATTAGATCATAGAAAAAGATTGTCAGAATATTAAAATTGAAGAATAATGATATAAAAGGAAAATTTTGAAAATTAATATTGGTTAAATTATTTTATAAAATATAAAGGCAAAACATATATACTAATGAAAATAATTGCATAATGTAATATTTTGCATATCAGTTTTGCACCACTGTCGAAAGTTTTCAATAGAAACTGAATTTTCAGATTCATCACTATCTGCAGAGGAACCTGAGAAATTTTCATCACTTTCGCTATATCTATCTTCAATATACTTGAAATCAGAATCAGAACTACTATCAGTGTCAGAAATATCGTCAGGAATATAGGTTATATCACTCACGAAACACTTCTTGCCAGACATCTTTGAACTCTGAAAAGTGCACGGAATGCTACATTATGTATTCTTGTATATTTGGCAGAAATTTTCGGCAGCTAACACAATCTCTTAGCTCACATCTACATAAACAGTTAAACATCAAAGAAAAGCCGAAAGGAAACCTCGAACGGGGAAACCTGTGAAGTTGTGTTTCGTAAACTGTTGAATTTTATTGATCAAAATTTGTGGGCCAATGTTGAATTTATTTAGTTTTCTGATTTATTTTTTAAGCAAAAAGTAATCACTCTGCACATAAGGAAAATATCTGTGTGTGCAGTGACAAATTTGGGCAAATCATTTTTTTAAACTTAAAACAGATTATTGTGTACATATAAAGAATGACAGTGCTGAGTTTTGTAAAATGTGGAGTTCTTGCTTTTTGAAGCTAAAACAAATCTCTTTGTGCATAGGGAGAAAAATACAAAAAGATGTGAATATTTTATTAGAGGTGTTTCTTGCTTTTTAAGTCTTGTTAATTAGTTGCCGTTTTATGTAATACTTAAGTGTATCATTATTTTTGAAAATGGCTGTTGTCTCTTGCATCTTAGGTTGGTGAAAAATAGTTGCCCTCGTGTTGATGACCATTTAGGAACATGGTACAGATAATCAGAAAGCACCAGAATCCTTCAACTGATAATTCTGCAAAAGATGATAAATTCTAAGTACAAATATCAATGTGCCAAAAGCATTTATTTCTGTTAAATTTTCAATTAAAAATAAATTTAGAGCAAGAATGCCAAAATATTTTTAGATTAGTAAAAATTGTTAGTTCTTAAAGCTAAATTTTTTTTAAGTGTGTACAAATTTTATCTGATTTTAAGATATGAAATATTGTTCTTAAAGTATAATTTTATTTTGAGAATGTGTCTTAACATGATAATTTGTCGGATTTTTTTCCCTGAAAATATATCAGATATAAATCATTCAATTAAAAAAATATTCAGTTGATTTTTTAGTGTACAAATGCTGTTTGTTTATCGTGCTGATTCATTCTGATCACAATGTATCAGTATGTGAGTAACTGAACCCCTGATTCTGTGCTAGTTTACCTTAGGATCTGTTTTTGATGTCTGAATGTGCTGGTCATATATGTTTCCTGTCATTTAGTAACTTAACGCAGAAGTCAGTTATAACAAAACAATGCATACTATAGAACAAGTTACACATATTTGCAAGATCAAAGTTTTGAAGCTTAAATAGAACCACTGTCATGAAAATGAAAAACCTGGGACATGTTTACATGTTTTTGTTCCTTTCTCTTGATCGATTAGTTATATAGTATATGTTTAAAAGAAATATTGAACTTTTATGCTGTTTTTTCCCTGTCATCTCCTGCAAATGTGACTTGTGGCACTATAATCCCCTGTAATATTGTGTAGTGTGTTGAGGACCAGGTTCTAAGTGCATTAGAAGAGGCTATATTAGACATCTAGGAGCAAAGTAGATGGAAGTTATTGAACAGTCAAGCGATAGTGCCATAGCTATATCCAGGATATTCAAGGGCATACAAACTAAAGTGAGAGAAACATTTTAGTGCTGTATGTACATTGTGCTTCTCTTTCTCTCAATTTGGCAATTTTTGATGCATGTCGCATTAAAGATATTCATAATTACATAGACATAATAGTAAAATATTTTTGTCTTTTATGAACACTTCAAAATGAAATTGCAGATTTCTTAATTTACTTTCAATTTTATTCACCCATATCATCAGTTAACTGTTCTATGCGAGTCAAGTTCATCGTACTACATGCAGTATTTTTCTTCTTTTCTAATTTATATTCAGAGATTATTATATAAACAGAATTTACTTTCAAAGAAATCAGCGATATTCTTTAGCTTAAACAATATCAATGTTCTGTATCCTAAAAATTCATCAGGCCCACCAGCGGCCGAGCGGTAAAGTCGCTGAACACTGGTAGTTCGATCCAAGGTTCAAATCTTGCAAACGGGCTGGCTGCATGGGCGTTTTCGTGGTTTTCCCCATGTGTAACGTGTATACGAGCCAGTTTTCCTTAGAAAGTCCTCCATGAAGGCATCCCTCCCCTTAGGCAGATAGCCCTAGTGTGCTTTGCCGTAATCTCAATAAATCAAACCAAACCTAAAAATTCATCACCAGAGGTCCGTGGACCGAAACCACACTCTGCTACCAGTTGTTGATGATTTCTAAATCTACTTCAGAAGGAAGCATTGAAAATTAAATGTAAAAAACAGCTCTATTAAAGAACATTTACTATACCAAGAACTACAACATTCTTCAAAACCATAACATTCTTTAATGATGTCAGATACAATGACTTTTTTACAATCTTGAAAATCAATAATGTTGCCAAATATTAAGACTTAAAACTATTTTTGTAAACAAATACTATCATCTGCATAATGCAATTAGATTGTGAGTAATATTATTAAATCAAATTAGTTGTTGTGATCCAAATCCTAAAAACTGCTATTGTGGGCAACATGTTAACTTTATTGTCAAAAGGAGTCTTGTTCTTGAAACATTTGAACAGTGTTTCCTTTTCCGTAAGAAATATGATAAAAGTAAAAAAAAAAAAAAAAAGTTGTCAACTGAACTTTGACTTAGGGATAATCTGTTTGTTTCGATCATCATTGTTGCTGTCTGAAGAATTTCAAAAAATACCTTTTTGTAATATCAAAATAACTTTTTGCCATATGTCCAAATTTGTTGTTCAGAGTTTAATGTGTGACATTGTGTTGTGAACTGCAGTTCATATAATTTATATGAAAAATATTAAGCTATATATTTATTAAGCATTGTATTATATAGCTTTATTTGCCTTTAAGGTTCATCGATGGGTTAATGCTGAATCCATGCTTCAAAAATGTTTTGTTGGTGTATTGAAGAAATCATGGTCCTTAGATGGTAATTTATTTGATTTGGGTTTGCTTTATTCATTAATTGTTCAGTTCATTTGTACAAAATGTAATTTATTTATTTATTCTAGTTCCTAGGTATTTACCTATTAGTGCTTTGAAATTAAAGTATAAAAGGCCTGCAATTGTGCCTGAGATTTTAGGTAAGAATTCATATATTTCTCATGGCTTCATTGAGTAATGCTTCTCCATCATAAATTTGCATTAATACTTTTTAAGATGTGTAATGTTTTCTTTTCTAAGGACTGTTAAAATGTGTTGCATGTAATGTATTCTGTGGCAGTATCAAAATGTATAAGTAAGAAGTTGCTTTTACTCACTCTTTAACCTACCCTGAATGTCACTTTTTTGCAAATTAATTTTTTTAAAAATAGATACACCTCCTGGTTCTCCTGGTGAAATAGACGAATTGTTTCAACCAACACGTAAAGGGAAATTCGAATGGTCTGTAACTAATGAAGCTAATATAGATGTAAATTTTGTAAGGTTTGTTATTTTTATTTTCATTTCATTCTGAATCCTTGATATCTTTCAAAGCTGTTCAAGTTTCATATTGACAGATTTCATGACTTTTTCTTATTAAGTGTAATAAATTTAATCAATTTATTTGAGAACTGGAATTTTTTTTCTGATTTTTCATCTGCATTGTGATGAATACTATAGTACTGAAGTTGTTCTATTATTTAATTTTTTGTTTGATATAGTAGTTTTTAATTAAAAATTGAGTAATTCTGTTACGTTTTGGGTAGCTTTGTGATTTTGTAGATAATTTTTATAGTAATTAAGAAACATCCTTTTCATATGATATAATTAATTTTATAATTTTTAATGTAAGGATAAATAATGTTATTCTGTGTGATGTCAAAGTATACCTAAATGAAAATTTAAATTTTGCATGATGAATTACTTTGAAGGTGTATATTATACAATCTTTGTTACAAGATTATATTTTTATTTTCATTGGCTGGGGTTTAAAAAATCCTTCTGTGTTTCACGTTGACCATTTTATAATCCCTCCCATTATCTAAAATTTAAATTATACTAGATTTATTAAAAAAGATAGTAGTGAAGCAACCTTTATCTAGAAGTGTATTCCTCTGATAGGGATAGGAAAGCAGCTTACTTTGAATACTGAATGAAAAAAATTTAATTTTTATTATATTTTAGGCTTTTAATGCACAATTTCTTTTCTCATTGCATGAAATTGTATTCTTTTCTCATCCGTGATTGAGTATTTCATTTGTTACAGCTTTTCTCAATAACTTGTGAGTACGGGTGTGGCAATCCCGAGGTACCCTAGCCCTTCAGGGGATCATCTTCTTGGTGAGACGGGTGTCACGATTCTGGAGCCCCAGTGATCTATCCTCTTTTCCGTCTCCTCTCCTCTTGGCTGGAACTTTTTCCCTTCCCTTCTCCCTTGTGGTTTCTCTCTACGGAGTTTGGGGCTCGTCACAAGAGGCTGGAACAGACCTTGTTTCTAGTTTTCGAGTGGCGAGAAAACTGCCCACGTGTTTGCCGTGCGTGGAGACCCGTGTCGCTGGAAAGGAGGGTCCTGGTAGTTGAGGGGCGAGGTACTGTCCCCAACACACTGCTTTGGCCTCTGCTTCAGCTAAACGGGAGGCACCTTAGTCGTCCTCACGGGTGTCAATCGGCTGGTCACTAGTCCTTGTGTCAGTGGCTTGGGGTCAAGCTCTCGGGAGTACCTGCTTTCGGGAAAGCCGACTGTGGGGCTTCAGTTTGCGTATAGGTCCGGCTAGCCCTAACACAGGAATCTGTGTTCCCTTGTTGGGCTCCGTGGTGGGCGGGGCCGTCGGACCCGAATCTTTATTCTTTCACTATGGCTTCTCATATCTACTTAATAAAAGATGTTGAGGTAACTCCAGTCACTCCTGTCACTCAAGTCACTCAAATCACTCCTGTCACTCAACCTAGTTCTGAAACTTCTACTCCTAAACCAGTCACTCAACCTAGTTCTGAAACATCTACTGCTAAACCAGTCATTCAACCTATTTCTGAAACGTCTACTGCTAAACCACTCACTCAACCTAGTTCTGAAAAGTCTACTGCAAAAAAATTACGTACAGATACAAATGAAAAAAATCATAACAATAGTCCCCGTTTCCTAGTCATCTCTAGTCCTTCTGGCGAAATGCATAAGATGTCTCCTTTCGTAATAAACAAATACATCCAGTCTTGTATTGGTGAGCCGAGAAATATAAAGCGTCTCCTGCTCCGGAGACTTGCTTATTGATACAACCTCAGCCACCCAGTCTGCTTCTTTACTTCAGATAACTAAACTTGGGCAAGCGAATGTCACTGTAACACCACATAAGTCACTCAACTATTGTCGGGGTGTAATCTCAGAATTCGACCTTCTGTATGTTTCTGAAGAAGAGATCGCTTCTGAGCTCTCCGAACAAAATGTCTGCGGTGTAAGGCGGGTCAAGATGCGTAAAGAAGGTAAGTTGATAGACACGAAACACGTGATCCTTACCTTCAACACGCCTGATCTGCCTAAGAATATTAAGGCCGGATATCTAAATATTCCTGTAAGACCTTGTATTCCAAACCCTATGCGATGTTTCCAATGCCAGCGTTTCGGCCATTCTAAGACGTCTTGTCGTGGCAACCTCACATGCGCCCGATGCTCACAGATTGGCCACGATTCTGAAAATTGTACCGCTGCGCCTCTTTGTATAAACTGCAAGGGTGAGCACCCAGCATTTTCACGCCTCTGCCCAAAATGGAAATTGGAAAAAGAAGTGCAGACTGCAAAGGTTACGAGGAACATCTCATATGCCGAAGCCAGAAGATTAGTCCAGAGCACACAGCTTCGACCAAATACATCATATGCCAGTGCTGTTAAATCATCTCGTACAGTTGCCACCCAAACATCAATAGGCACACAGACCCTACCAAATAAAACCCAACCGTCTTCATCCAACAAGAAAAAAGAAAATGCAACCCATATAGTACAAAAGAAAGAAACAGTTATTCAAAGTAAGCCGAAAACTAGTACACATAAAATATCCAATAAAAATAGAAGTCACAGCAATAGCTCTTTTGATGAGATGATTTCTGAATCTGCGGATTCAGACTTTATGGAAGTAGAGGAGGGTCTAGAAGTTCCCAGGCATCTACTTCCACGAAAAACAAAAGAACAGCACAGGAAAAACAAAAACCATTCATAATGGCCACCCTCGTGTCATGGAACTGTCGCGGTTTCCACCGAAATTTGCTAGACATCAAATCTATAATTAATGTGTATCATCCTGTATGCCTCGCAATACAGGAAACAAACCTAAAACCAGAACAACAGGCAAAACTTCGGAGGTTTTCTTTCGTCAGGAAGGATAACTTTGCAGGTGAACGCGCCAGTGGAGGTGTAGGTCTCCTCTCCTCACTGGATTATCCCTCAAATGTTCTTTCTTTGACGACATCCCTCCAAGTTGTCGCTACTCAAATAAATTTTGATATTGATGTTTCATTTGTTTCTTTGTATTTGCCTCCAAATGAGCACATTGATCAGAAAGATTTAAATGATCTTTTAGAGCAGCTGCCTGAGCCTTTCATAATAATAGGAGATTTTAACGGCCATAGTCCGCTCTGGGGTAGTAAAGATACAAATTGCCGTGGAAGACAAATTGAGCAGATGATCAAAGATCATAGCCTTTGTCTCCTGAGTAATGGGCAGAATACTTACTTCCATGAGCCTTCAAGGACATTCCACGCTCTCGACCTTGCCATCTGTTCACCATCTCTGTTGCCATTTTGCACTTTTAGTGTGGGAAATGATCTTTACAACAGCGATCACTATCCCATTTTTATATCTCTTGCACGAAGAGGAGCAAACCCCATGTCGAGATCCCCTCGATTCATACTCGATAGGGCAGACTGGGAACTCTTCTCTTCCTATTGCAGAGCTCACACAGATGAAATGGTAGAAGATGCGCATATCGATGATGCTGTTGAAGCTGTTACAAATACTATTATTCAGGCAGCTATGCTTTCCATTCCTAGAACATCAGGAAAAATACTGAAATATTCGAAACCGTGGTGGAATCGCGATTGTCATGAAGCACTGAAAAAACAGAAAAAAGCATGGGGTATTTTTCGTAGATATCCTACTCTGCGAAACCTCATTGCATTTAAAAGAGCCAAAGCAAACGCACGAAAAGTAAGGAGGCAGAGCCAAAGGAATTCTTGGATTTCCTATGTGTCATCAATTACATCCTCTACGCCTAGTAAGCGGGTTTGGGAAAGAGTTAGAAAAGCATGCGGAATATATAAATAACAATAAAGACCACTCACTTTCCTTTTTGGGAAAAGATGGCCGAGTGATTAGCTCTATAGAAGAAATTGCGAATACTATCGGTGAGACATTTGCTGCCGTTTCTTCCAGCAGAAACTATTCACCTGCATTTCTCTCTATCAAGCAGCACTCTGAAATAAATCCCATTGCATTCAACTCTTCCAAATCTGAGCCTTACAATAGAGCATTTACTATGCTGGAATTAAAGAGAGCTTTATTGCAGACACATAGGTCTTCTCCGGGTCTTGATGGCGTGAATTACGAAATGCTAAAACATCTGTCCTATAAGTCACTGACTGCCCTCCTCACTCTTTACAATAGAGTGTGGAAGGAGCGTATTTTTCCCAGTGCGTGGAGGAGAGCTGTTGTAATTCCTATTGCTAAGCCAGGGAAAGATCCAAGGAATCCATCGAACTATCGGCCAATTGCCCTTACGAGTTGCGTATGCAAACTGTTTGAAAAGATGGTAAACAGCCGCCTAGTCTACTTCTTGGAAAAAAATGATATTATATCGCCTTATCAGAGCGGTTTTCAAAAGGGAAGAACGACTGTAGATAACATGCTCCTCTTAGAGACATCTATTCGAAAAGCATTTGTAAGAAGAAGCCACCTTGTCTCGATATTCTTCGACATTGAAAAAGCTTGTGATAAGGCATGGAGATACGGTATACTTCGGGATCTTCACGAGAGTGGCTTGTGCGGCAACCTACCAATTTTCATTCAGAATTTCTTGAACAGTAGAAGTTTTCAAGTAAGGATTGGCTCTGTTTTTCGGATGTTTTCCAACAGGAAGAGGGTGTGCCTCAAGGCTGTGTGCTTAGTGTAACGCTGTTCAGTTTAAAAATAAATTCTGTATTAAAAGAACTTCCTCCTACCATCTTGGGATCACTATATGTAGATGATTTACAGATTAGCTGTCGAGGAGCAGACATGAGATACATAGAGAGGCAATTGCAGATGGCTCTGAATAAGATCCAAGAATGGTCAGACAAACAGGGATTTACCTTTTCGAAACAGAAAACTGTGTGCGTGCACTTTTGTAGGAAGCGAGGTCTCCATCCTGAACCTGAGTTATATCTAAATGGTACAATTATTCCAGTTGCGCCCGAAGTGAAATTTTTAGGAGTGACGTTCGACCAGAAATTGACTTTCCTTTCTCATGTTTTAAACCTGAGAAAGAAGTGTCTAAAAACACTAAATATTTTAAAAGTGTTGGCGAACACCTCCTGGGGTGCAGAGCGTTGCTCCATGCTTCGCATTTACAGAGCGCTTATCCGCTCTAGACTAGACTATGGCTCAGTGGGTTTATGGATCTGCTCGCTCATCTGTTTTGTTAAAACTGGATCCTGTTCACCATCAAGGTTTGCGGATTTGTTCAGGAGCTTTCAGGACTTCTCCTGTACAGAGCCTATACGTTGACTCTAACGAACCATCACTTTATCTGAGGCGTGAGCAATTGTCCCTTTTACAATATTTTAATATCTTATCCCAACCTGAACATCCCAATAAGCTGTGCTTACTTGATAATGAGTGTAACACTTTATTTGAAACACGTCCATCCTGTGTTCCTACCTTTCCTTTAAGACTTCGCCCTATCATTGAGGAACATTCCCTCTCTGATATGCGCCCCCAAGCAGTACAGAACTTTGAAATCCCACCTTGGGAAAATTCACAGATTCAGCTTCTTGATGTTTTCAAACATCACGTGAAGGCAAGCACTAATGAGATCGTTTATAGACAACTCTTTGCTGAGCACAGGCACAAATATAGCAGTTATTATCCGATATACACAGATGGATCAAAGTCAAATGATCATGTCGGGATGGCTTTTGTATTTGAAAATTACATAGAGGGCAGATGCCTGCACCATGCTCTCTCAGTCCTAACATCTGAACTGACTGCAATATATTATGGTCTTTTGTACATCTCAAAGCTCTGCCACAAAAAGTTCATAGTTTACACAGACTCGTATAGTGCTCTTAAATCCTTGGAAGCTTTTCCCAACACTCAGAATCCTGTGGTAGTGGATGTTCTCAAAATTCATATAAATTTAACGATTCGAGGTTATGAAGTCCTTTACTGCTGGGTTCCTGGACATGCTGGAATAAAGGGAAATGAGCTTGCAGATATCGCAGCGAAATCTGCTGTTGAACTGTCCAGTCGCCTTATCCCTTTTGGAGATATCTGCAATGTCATCAAGGGAAAGGTCCGAAAAAAATGGTAGCAATTTTGGGATGTTCAGCGTCACAACAAGTTGAGAAACGTCAAGCCTAGAATTGAGCATTGGGATTTTGTTGGAAATCGTAAGGAGGACGTTCTTTTGACTCGCCTCAGAATTGGTCACACTCGGAGTCACACATAACTATCTTCTCAAAGCTGAAAATGAGCCTGTTTGTTTTAATTGTAATGTTTGTTTATCTGTTCGTCATATTTTAATTGAGTGTCCATGTTTTAATAGTCTTCGCCAGAAATATTTTAATAGCTGTGACTTACCTCTCGACCGTTTAATCGGAAGAGAGGTGAATTGTAATTTATTTTATTATTTAAAAGAGATTGGCTTTTATTACCAAATGTAATTTGTTTTGAAGACTGTGTCTTGAATTTTAATATGTGCTTTTAACTTGTGTTTATATGACTTCATCCTCTGGATTTGGTACATTTATCTACTTGTTTTTATTGATTGAATTTTAATGTCATCAATTGTAATCATCCCATCTTGTGTTTGGCGCATCATAACCATCTCTGGTTTTTGCGCCATAATCACTCACTCACTCACTCACTCATAATCAACATTTTCATCCCACCATTTCACCATCTTTTTACTTGCCTCCATTTTAAAAGTGTGCTGTTGCTTTAAATTTTTTCTTTTATACTTTCTATGCGAAATACGAATCCTGCGATTGGCGCATATGGCCTATAGAGCTTTGCGCCATAAATCTACCACTACCACTACCACTATCTCAATAACTTGTGCTGCCCAAGAATAGTACAAAGAATTTAGGAACCGCACTATCATGCAGGAATTTTATAATATTTAGTGCTGTGATCTGAAATGAACTGTTTTTGAGTTTTCTCACATGTATGAATTTCCTTTTACCTTAAAGTTTTGCAGCAACAGAATCTTGTTTCCTATGTTACTGGTGGAAAGATTAAGTTTGCCTAATTAAAATTTTTTAAGCATGCACTCTGAAATATGCGCATATTACTGATAAAAGCAGTTCAAATTTTATGACGTAATAAATATATATAATTTTTAAGTATTATACTAAAAATATTTTTTAATATTAGCTCATGACGGAATCAGTAAGCTAAGTTTACACTTGTTGTAAAGAAACTATTTTTGCCACTTATTTTGCTGTGCATGCTGCATTATGTAATTTTCCTAAACTTTTTTACCTTATGTGCACACACATATATAACATATCTAAAAAGAAATTAAACCTTTTTAAATTCGTTAAATGCATTGAAAGTGGCAGCTAGAGAAATTTTTATCTGGAAATCTGCTTTCCATCTGAAGTTTGTGAAGTTTTATTTCAGGCATTATGTTTGAAACCCATGACTAGAAAAACCCGCTATTATCTTATTAATGCATGAAATTAATCTTGTTAAATGTATATAGAATCTATGCACATATATACTATATATGCTTAATTCCCTAAGTATTTAATGTTTTCTTTGTTTTCTTTTCCAGTTATAAAGATGAAAATACTGTCCGGATCGTCATTGACAATTTAAATGTTCTCTTCCCTGAAATCATTACTGATTTAATAAAAAACGTATTATTTATTAAAAAGGATAATTCAGGTCCGCAGCTTCTAAAAATTGGTAAGAGGAATAAATTCTTGAAAATATTTTTTTTAGTAGGAAATATAGACCGCTTTCTATGAGAAACCTTCCATGAACAAATACTTCTTATGTACTTTGCCATATTCAGTTAAAAAAATGGTAACATTAAACGGGAGTGAACCCCATTATCAGCCATACATTGAAAATTGTAATGTAATTTAAGGAAACAATAATGTTGCATTGTTTTATATACAGTCAAAAGTGTTTAATTTGGACATTCATAATCCGGAATGATCTATAATCCAGATCTCAAAGCTTCGAACTTTCTGCACTTGCGTTTTACGCATGCACGTTTAATGTATAACGGACAGTATATGCTAAGCTAAAATTATCTATTTCAGTTAATGTTGCAGATTGCATTGTTCCTTAATCTTCTAATTGGATACAGCTTATTATTTTTTGCAGACTGTTAGAGCAATTTTATAAAAGAAAGATTGAACTTTTGATTATGTCAAAAAGAATTTCCGATTCTGGAGCTGTCAAAGGATCTACAAAGCGAAAGCATGTTTCGATGTCCATCAAACAGAAAGTGGAATTGCTGCAGAAAAGGGATAAAGGCATATGCTTTGTTTCTCTAACCATTCCAAAATCTCTATCAATTTCATGCTGCTCTGCTGGGAGGGGGATGTAGCAGCGCGCAATGAACTGGAAGTTGATCTGTCAGCACTATGCTTATCTTCAGGGCAGATGTTTTTATTTTATTCAGCTTATAATTCCTTACTAAATGTAGTATTTCTTCTTGATTTACTCCATCTTTGATATGATTTAAATAAAATTCCTCGTCATTATAAATATCACGAATACACATCAAATAGTTTTCTGGTTGCAATTTTCTAATTTCGACTATGCATAATGTATGCTTTACGCATGCGTGCGTTGAAAGAAATGTTTAATAAAGTAAACAAATAAATATTAAGCTTTTTTTTTTGTAAATTTTGATACCCTTTAGATCATAATTGCTCTTTATTTCATAAATTATGGGTTCATATTTTTAATTTTATAATTTCTGCATGCCATCTTACCAGATTTAAACTGATGATCTGTAATCCGGAATCGCTGAAGTCCCAATGAGTCCAGATTAAAGACTTTTGACTGTACTTTCAAATTTGACTGTACTTTATCCCACTCCTACTAAAGTAGATAGGGTGAAGTTTAAAAAAGTGAAACAAATTTGATTTTTTTGCTGTAATTAGGATTAGAGTTATATTTTAGCAGGAGTTCGAAGTTTTTTGTTGTTATTGATATCATTAAAATATTTATTCCTTTCATAATGAATACAATATAACTCCTACCTGAATCTGAACTTATGTTCTGTTGGTTGGGCTGGAAATGGGCACTGGTGTTTTGCTTCATCTTTTTTGTGATACTGGAAGTTTTCTGTAAGCTGATAATTTTTCTGTAAGAGTTCGTTGTTACCAGACATTTTTTAGCACTATGAAATAAGAATTTATAATGTTTTGAGTGAATTTCAATTTTTATAGAGTCGGCTTTACTCATTCAACTGATATTTATCTCAGGCCTGAATTTGTTAACATTTATTAGCATAATGATATCTTCAGCTCATAGAAATTGTTCCTAGAAAACCTGCAAAGCTACTAATGTATTTCTTAGGAGCTTGAGTAAATGTATGTTACTTTTTTAAATGGGCTGAACATTATTAGATTAGTCTAGAAGGGTGTTCTCACATCAGGTTCGTTATTATAAAAGTAATATAAAATTCACTTACCTCATGCATTTTCATTGTTCATAATGCCAGGTGCTGCAATAAACTTTTCTTCATGATAATAGGCAGACTTGTCTGTACATATACTATTTTATTCAAAGGAAAAACTAAATTACATTGTTTACAAGATTGGTACTAAACATTTTAAGGCAGCTATGTCTTACAGTGACATTTTTAACTGCGTTTCCTAATGGAGAGGTTTTTATATTGATGATACTCAAATGTTCGAATCCAGTCTCATTCTCAGATCTCAGAGAGAAAAAGGAGGATGCCCGCCATTTAGTAGCAAGAATGGGACATTCTCCCACTTTTTGATTTTAGATTAATGATATGGGAAAAACAAAACAAAATCTATTGATAATGAAACATAACTATTCTAAATCTATTGATAATCAAACATCGACTCCTGATTTCTCACCATACTCCTGCCAACCCAGTTTTTAACATATTTCTCCTGACTTTCTGTTATTCTTAAAATTTCTCACAATTTTTATGTAGCTTGACTTAAAGCTTCATTATTTACCCCCCCCAAAAAAAGTATTTTTTGGCATCTGAAAGCGTTTTTCTCTAGGTGCATATAAAAAAAGGGAAGTAGTTTCATCACTGAGATATGGTGCATTTCTGCTTTGAGAACCTGGAACATGCGCCCGAAAAACATTGTGTTACAGTTCTCCAATGAGAACTAAGCACTGCTGCGGGTCATCTGGCTTATATTAACCAATGAGCACAAACCAAGATCGAGATTGTTTATGTCGTTCGTCTTACCAGTGAGCAGCATAAGTTTCATGCGCTTCCCAGAAACAGTTTAAGAAACTGTGATCCTTTGTCTTATTTATGTCTATGACTATTATTTTGTCAAGGAAATGTAATATTGCAATATTTATTGTTTGTCATTGCAATTTTTCAGTATCGCTTGGTGGAAGGGCCAACGTTCTTAAACATGTGCGTACACAAGGGCAATGTGAGTTGTACTGTGAAAAAAATTAAATTTTTCTGTGGAAACATAAGACTAAAAAGTACTTAATGCAGAATACCAGTAGTCTGCCTTTTTACTGGAGCACAACCTGCCACTAAATGCATCAGATCATGCTGCAGCTTTTTTAGAAAAATATTTCCCAGCAGTTAAAATTTCAAAGGAATACTCAAGGACAAAAACAGCTGCAGTTGTACAAGAAATGGGTTAAAAAATTGGTGTGAAAAATGAATCTTCAGTTATTGATCGTATCAAAACAGTTCCATTCTGCCTCTTTACATTTGGGAGCAATAATACTGTGCAAAACTGTATCCAGTTGTTGTTTCTTTTTTTTTTTTTTTTAACTCTACAGTCTTCAGAAACCGACTGTAGTTTACTTTCTTTTCTGTCTCCACTTTAGAAGAGATTCGACAGGCTTTAATAACAGCACAGTTGATTATTGAAACTTTTAAAGAAAATGCAGTTCTTTAGGATTATTGCTTAGCACTTAGTGCCATACCAGGAATTTTAGGCTTGAAGACTGATGTTGCAAGAATCTTAAGGGGAAAAAAAAAAAGAAAATTCATGTTGCAAATTATAAAATGCACCTGTCGTTTCTTAAATTTAGTAGTGAAAAAGGCTCAGCTTCTATGCCAATAAGTGTGATTGAACATATTGTTCATATTTATTATTATCTTGGAAAGATTGCTAAAAGGAAGGAAAAATTAAAACATTTCCAACAGTTGCATAATATTAAAATAAGAAAAAAAATCAGAAATATGTATGTACACGTTGGTTTTCTTTAGAGAAATGTTTAACTAGAATCATCAACCACTTGCATTTTTTAAGGAAGACCTAAATGCTTCTAGAGTTAAGATAAAAGGCTGTTGAAAGCTATAAAATACCTTGAGTAAATGGAGATGTAGTTATTGCTTCCATTGTTAAAAATAGGTGTGAGAAAAATTAACTAATTTCTCACCTTGTGAGCAATTTAATTGGCAATTCTCAAAATAATACCACAAAATATAAGTGTAAAGCTTTCCCAAGATTAAAAAACAAAATCATTTGACAAAAGACACATTTTCTGATTATTGTAAGTTTATATGTTGAAGAATGAATATTTATGTTTTTGTCTTCGGACTTGAACAAAAGCATTTTGTATGCTTCATTTTGCCGTCATTCAGTGTTTTTAACACAATTCCATGGTGCAGAATTACATTATTTTATGTTTTGCAATCAATGATCTGGTTAAAGTATTTAATGATTACCAAAACTGAGTATTTTTCTATTTAAGAAGGTACAAGAAATAAAACTTTTTCTTGCTTTTTTTTTTTTTTTTTTTTTTTTTTTTTTTTTTTTTTTACATAAAAGTATTTTTGCATTATTTGTATTTAAGAAATAATAACTGAACTTTCAGATATTAATTAGTTACAATTTAAAGTTAATTCATTATTAAAAATATATTTACATTCTCCATGCCTTTATTATTTAAAAAATCTTTTTGTTAAAAAAAATTTTCCAGATTTCTTAAAAAAATCTGCTTTTTGAGTGTTGTAGGTTGACAAATATGGGTGTAAAATGATTAAATTGTTAAAAAGCATTGCTTTGCTTGCTATTTGTAAAATCTGTAGTTTTATATGCTTTTGGCTGGCTATTTTAAGTAATTTAACTGTTGAAATGATGTATGAGATTAGCATATAAATAAATGCTTTTAAGTGCTATAATCACATTTAATAACATTTAAAAGCATTTGATGACATATATTTGTTGAATAAATGGGGCACTTTTAAAAAACATAATTATTATTAAATTGAAATATCCATGAATGTTTTGTTTACAGATTTTAGTAAAAATTGTGTTGAATATATTCCTGAACAGTTTGTAAAATTATTTGGTTTAGTCAGCCACCTCCCCCCTTTTTTTTAAATATGTCATAGTTATGTTAGAAAACTACACAAAATATTTGTTGCACATTTGAAGCCAGTAAGCGAATATTTTCGTATATTTATGGGCTTTTGATGTATTTTTTAATAAAACCTTTTTGTTAATATATGTTATGGCTGTCTATTATCATTTAAGAAGTAACACAAAGTACAGTGAATTCTCAATAATGCATTTGCAAGATTGGAGGAAGAGATACCATAATTCACTGAAATTCAACTTGTGATAGAAGGGGCTCAAATTTCATAAAAAAGTTGTTTTTAATAGGTATTGAACTTGCGAAACTTCAAGTTATTGCCATTTGACTGTATATCGGGTGTTTGTGCTCCGGGGAAACCCCGGAATTCTGGGGATTTTGAACTT